GATATAGAAGTAACTTTGAACCTACTTATTTTTATTGTGGTATTAAAGGTCACACACCTAATGCTTGCTATGTTAAAAACTTTAGTGTGGCAAGTAGGCATTATGTGTGGGTAAAGAAAGGTACTAATTATGAAGGACCCAAAGCAACTTGTGTACCTAATAAAACCTAATTTGTTTTGTAGGTATGCTTAAAGACCACTTCCAATCTATGGTATCTTGACAGTGGTTGTTCAAAGCATATGACAGGAGACATAAACCAATTTTCAAATCTAGTGCTAAAGGACAAGGGTTTTGTCACTTATGGAGACAATAATAAAGGAAGAATTCTTGGCAAAGGAAAAGTTGGTGCACCACCTTTCACATCCATTGAAGATGTTCTTTATGTTGAAGGACTAAAGCACAATCTTCTTAGTATTATCCAACTATGTGACAAAGGCTTCAAGATCAAGTTCACCAAAGATGAATGCTTGATAGAAGACAAAGTCACACATGAGGTTATACTTATAGGTAAAAGAATTAATAATATATTTATGATTTCCCTTGATGATACATCTTTGAAGGTAAGATGTCTCATGGCTAACAACGATGATTCATGGCTTTGGCACAAAATAATTGCTCATATTCACATGGAACACTTGAATAAATTAATCAAGCATGATCTTGTCATTGGATTGCCTAAGAGAAAATTTGTCAAAGATAGACTTTGTGATGCTTGTCAAAAATGGAAACAAACAAAATTAACTTTCAAATCTAAGAATGTGGTTTCTACTACAAGGCCACTACAATGATTGCATATGGACCTATTTGGTCCATCAAGAACAAGAAGTTTCGGAGGTAATGTATATGCATTGGTTATTGTTAACGATTTCTCTAGATATACTTGGACATTATTTTTAGTGAAGAAAAGTGATGAATTCAAGGCTTTCAAGATGTATGATAAACAAATTCAAAATGAGAAGTCTCTAACAATTGCCTCCATAAGAAGTGATCATGGCGGAGAATTTCAAAATGAATCTTTCCCTTATTTTTGATAATGTCAAAGGGGAAGAAGGATGTTATACTTTATGCTTGTGTATTTCCTTGTCATAAACTTTTAAGGTACAAAGAATCCTTCAAGATGAGCAAATCCAAATAATTACAAAGCTTCTCATACAAAGGGGGAGTTATACATCTTAAGGGGAGAAGTCTTTTTTCTGGAAATAACAATGCATCAAGGAAGATTATTTGTCATCATAAAAAAGGGGGAGAATGTAATATCAAGCCTCTCAATGCAATTTCTTTTGATGAAGACAAACCATAATGGCAAGAAGGCAAAGATGTTGATCAAGCTAAAGCATCATTGGATAAAAGTCTTTGGTTCAAGATCTTGGCAAAATTCATAAGGTATAATAAAAATACATATTATGAACTTAAGTCTTAGATGCTCAATGATCAAAAGAAGTTTTTAAACTTATCCAAATTATTTCTCAAGTGTCTTAAGCAAAAAAAAATAATTTTTATTACTGAGCAATCAATTTACATGTTGGAGAAATCGATTGCTTGCCTCACGTTTTTAGGTTTTTTACTTCTGTTTTCCCGTGCAATCGATTTGCATATATGTGTAATTGATTACTCTCTGTTTGAAAAAGCTCATGTTTTTAAGTGCAATCGATTTACATAAAGGTGCAATTGATTGCTCACTAAAAATATTTGAAATTTATGGCTGTTAGAACCTGTGCAAATCGATTTGCATCAAGGGTGAAATCGATTGCTTGTTGTACATTTTTGAAAATCAGTATATTTTCATATACCTCTCCACACACACCTTTTGAATAATGGATTGTACTGAATCTTGGAAATTGTTCATGATCATCCTATAGAAAATCGTGTTGTTTCGAAGGGGTATTATAGAGATATAAATAGCCAAAGATTCAAATGATTTTACAACCTCTTTCAATCAATCTTTTTCTGAAATATTCAAATACTCAACTCAAGCTTTCTTCATTTTTATTCAAAAAGTTTTCTGCACATTTTCACATCTTGTATAACAGAAAATCTTGAGCAATCTAAGTTCTGAGTCATTGTATATCATTTTTATTGGAAGGGAAGATCAAGTTATTGATAAAATCACTTAAAGTGATTATTACTCTACAAACTTACTCACTCAAATATTGTTGTACACTTTCTTATTTTTCAGGATTGTTGAAAATAAGATTAGTGGTTTTCGTACTCTTATTTTTCCAGGATTGTTGGAAACAAGTAGGTCACTTTGAGAGGATTGTTCTCATTGTTGACATAGTGAAAATCCAAGAGAACTATTCTTGGTCCAAGAGGATTGTTCTTGGTGTTTGGTAGTTCTTGTATAAGTTGCCAACTATAAAGAAATCTCTTTCATGTTGAAAGGGGACTGGAGTACTCTCGGACTGTGAGGGGAACCAGGATAACTCTCTTGTGTCTCTTTATTTTTCTGCACTTTACTACTTTCATAAACACCATAAACCAAAAAAATAATATCCGTCATCACTAAAACCAGAAAAAATTTAAAGTACCTAATTCACCCCCCTCTTAGGCGCACTTCGTACTTACAAATAAGACTTCCAGATATGTAGTTGTGTGTTTGGTATAGAAACTACGACTTGGACCAGGGTATCTTCCATCGGTCGTCCCCAATGGGTTATGGCAGACCCAGAATAAAAACCTTAGATCTTTTGGAAAAACTTAGGAACCAAAGGTGAAACCTTAGTGTTTTGAAGGTATGCTTTGAAGCTCGAAGCCTTAATGATTATCAATGGAGCTGCACAAATCAAATAGTGTACTTCAAAGTATATAATATTTTGAAGTCCCTGATCCAATCGATGATGGTGAGTATTAACGATAATGATCAAAGCAAGTGTTTGTGAGGATATCTCAGTACTTATGATCCTTAGTGATCAGTTTAAACCTCATGGTAGGTTGGATGAATATATCTGTGATGGACTTACCCATCTCATGTTTAAGCCAACTCTCGCATCTAACGATACAGAGAGAAGGACACACCATAATATGATTGGTATTTTCTTTTAAGGGAAGTTTTTATCAAGGCCCATTGGATTCGAATGCGTGTCCCCTTAATACTTTTTCCCTTATTTGGAAGCTCAATCGAGGTAATATGTCATAAAAAAGTAAAAATAAAATAAAAGATTCTAAAATGCAGTTGTTGAGATTCGAAGACGTGTCCCCTAAATATTTTTTTCATCAGTTGTCAGCTCAACTGAGGTAATATGTCAATAAAAATATTAATTAAAAATTAAAAGTTGTTAAAATACAATTTATGGGATTCAAAGACATGTTTCTTGAATACTTTCTCCTAGGTTTCCAATTCAACTGAGGGAATTGGTAGTATTTAAAAATAAAATAAAATATGATGCGCCTATGATTTACACCTCACTTGTTTGTTGACTGAGGTGAAAGTTTTTTCATAAAATTTATTACTTATAGTCGTATGAGTATAACTTAATTGTAATACCCCATTAAACATAAAGACATTATTCTTACAGTATAATAATAAAATTTTATTGTAAAACGAGATTTTATTAAAGTATTGAGAATATTATGTAAATAGACGGGTGATTACACAATCTTGCTTGGTTTGAGGATCATCCTACACATTATTGAGGGATCATTTCCTTTCTCTTTCAAAGCATCAATTATGTATACCAATTCCACAAGCATAATGATGTCTAAGTTATTATTGGGAATTTGAATGTATCTCTTATGAGTGTCGATTCTTTATTTCTTCTTATCAACTTTCTCAGTAGTACTGGTATGATCATTCATATTATACTGATTCTCTATGTCGTAAGTGTACTCTCATCACACTTAATATCAGAGTAAAATTTTCCCCTACTCTCTCCTAATCTTTAAATAGGAGTTGGAATTTCTTCGATCAGATGTTTCAATCACTCATTATCATACTAATAATGATTTAGAAACCTAGCTATCTAGCAAGGGCCTTCTTGTCACACCTAAATTGTTTAAAAGCTACCAAGTGGTTGAAAAATTCTCAATCACATTGATCATTCACTCCTAAATAAAATATGAGTCACATTATGAGAGTTTCAATTTCTCCAAATGGAAGTTCTAGTCTCTCTTAATCATAATAATGACTTTAAAAGGCTAATTATGTATAAAGGTCCTCCAATGACACTTAATGTGGTTAAAAACTCTTCAGTTATTAGAGTTTTCTTGATCACATCATTCGTTCACTCCTATTTAAAATTAGAGGTACTTAGAATTTAGGATTTGTCCGCTTAACCGATTTAGTTTCTTCTTATCATAAAATGGTGATTTTAGAAACCTAATCATTTTGAAAGAGCATTTTTGTCACATCTAATATGATTAAAAACTACCAGATAATTGAAATTTTCTTTAACTTATCGTTCATTCACACCTAATTGAAATAAGAGTCACTTAAGATTTGTAATTTCTCTTATATGGCATTTTAGTCTCCTTTGTCATAATAATGATGACTTTAGTAATTTAGTTATCTAAAAAGGGACTTCTTGACAAACATTTCTTGTTCGAAACGAGTGATTAATTGGAGTTTTATGAATCACACAATTCATTCATGCCTAATTAGAATAATACCCAATTAAGAGTTAAAGTTTCTTTAAAATATTTTTAGTCTCTACTTGTTATAATAACAATGACTTTTGAAATTTAGTCTAGATAAAAGCCTTCTTCCGGTCACACCTAATCTATAATATAAAAAAATTCATTCTATCCAAACTTTCAATTTTATCCTTTTGTTCCAATAACATATCAGGTGGATATCTTCTTTGGTCTCTATTCCATATTTCATTTTCTTGTCTAACCTCTACGGGATTCCTCCCGAGAAACTCACCTCATAAGCCCCTAGGTACTATAATTTCTCAATTTTCCATTTTCATTCATGCATGATACAAAAAAATACAATTCTTGAATCCAAATGTTTACAACCTGTAATGCTTGGTTTGTAGAAAAGGAATTATAGCGCCTTATAGATGAGTTTGGCGGACACGGATTGCTCGGAGGAAGGTCCGGTGATTCTTGAGCCTCCAGATCTTGATATCATTAAAATTTATCCTACTTGTCGTTACCATAGGGTATTATAATGTTGTGTTTGTGTGCATTTTATTTCATTCCTTTTTCATTTCTTAATTTGATGTTGATGTTAGTTTTTGCATTCATCACAGTATAAGGAAGTAATTGGCAAAGGAGCTTTCAAGACTGTATATCTTTATTTTTGGTTTTGGTTTTATGGATGCATTGTTAATTAGTTGAAATCTGTCAAAATTTAAATAAGTGATAATGCAAGCAATGTGGTTATAGTGTATCTATTTTCCTTAATTTATGGATAATTAATTAGTAATAAGGCATTTGACGAAATCACGGGTCTTGAAGTTGCGTGGAGCCAAATTCAGATTGACGATGTATTACAATCACCGGGCGACCTAGAAAGGCTGTATTCAGAAGTGCATCGATCGATTTGGATTTTATGTTCACTCTTTTTTTGTTTTCCAAGTTCTTCAGGATTAATCTATGGGCTTCTAACTTCCTTCGTCGTCAGCAATAGAAAGGTATGTTTATGTGAGAAATAGAATAATTGGTAAAGGTTTCATTTTGTTGTGTTGATAATGAAAGAGGATAATTTGTGGTTAGGGTTTTTATATTAGAATTGAGTTTCATGATTTTGAGTTATGATAAATAATTTTCTGGGTACTGTGATAGATTATTTTGCTGCAAGTATGTCTGAGATTTGAAGCTGAAAAATACTGGAAACCGAGTCCATCCCATGCCTTATACAGATTCATTTATTCCACGTGAGTATTGTATAATTTTGTTTAGATTGTATTTTGGTATGTTTTGTATCATCTTTATATATTGGCTCATCCTTGTGCAACTTTTTTCATAATGCAACCAAGACTATGATTCCCAAGAAGATATTGTTGTATATGGATATGGAAGTGTGGCTTGGAAAGATCAAATGGAGGAATGGAAAAAGTGGCAGAGTGACAAACTCCAAGTGGTGAAGCATGAAGGGGATGATAAAGATGGAAATTTTGGTGATGACCTCGACCTTGACCCTGATATGCCAATGTAAGAATAAAATAATTGTATTTCTTTAATTATCAGATATATATTTTGTGCTTTGCTTGCAGATGCAGCTGATTTGCAGCTCTGCTGTATTGCGAGTTTTTTTGTCGCCGAGGGCTCAGACCAGTTCCGCGGTGTTTCCGTTTTCGTTGCTGTTGTCTTTTGACAGGGTCGATGTGGTATTTTGCGGTTGCAGTCGCGTTTGTACCGAGCTAGCTATCGGCAGAGTGGTGGTCCGTATTCATCCTGAGTCTGTTAGTCTGTTACTGGTCTTTGTGGAAATTGGAGATTTTTATGTGTACACAACTTCAGAGTTTGTAAGATTATTTGTATTGAAAGGTGTTATTTTTGGTCTGTGCAGTATTGAATGTTTGTTCTATTTGATTATGATCATATAGGCCGTGATGTTCGTGCAATTAATAGATCTGCTTCTCAGTTGCTTGGGGCTAATGGTCGTGATGATGGCGCAATTGTGAGTTTATTGTCATTAAGTATTATAACTACTCTGAATTTTCTGCAGTTGTCTTATTTAACGTGTATTTTAAATTTAGATATTTATGTTTGGGAGCTATTTAGTCTAATCATTTTAGAGTGTTAAATTAAGTTAAGTTTTGTCTATTTTGTTAGATCACTTAAAAAATAAAAGAAGAAATTAACAAGATTTCTTTGATAAGCTGTGACACTCGCATTTTCTGTTTTGGGGTCCGTATTATTAAAATGCGTAGCGTGCAATAGGTAGGCTTATGTCTTCCTTAAATTTTAACTTTATTAAGATGAATGTCTTTTGGTTTCTTTAATCCAGACTTATCTGAATAGTCAAGACATTCAACAAAGCAACTTCCTTAGAATGATTTTACTTTAAAAAGTTATGTTGAATGATCTGCTACCGAAGTTTGGTTTCTTTAATTAGTACCATTTTTAGTTTTCTTTTTTAGAGAAGCGGATGAATCTTGATTACGAGCAGTCTGCTACTGAAGTTATGTCCATCATTAATTTAGAATTTTGTACATTTTTTCTGTTGTATTATTTGAGTATAATACCAACTGCTTCTACCACCGCAGATTCTGTAGAAAATAAGCCGACTACACCTGAGAAATTTGTTGTTGCTGCTACTAATGGTGAACTGCAACATCTTTTTAACATTACATAAATTCATTTTATCTTGCTAAATTCTATTCGGACACAAAATCTTACCGTGTTATCTCTTTTCATCGACCGCGCGAATTCGTTGAGCTGGCTGTTGAAACCTGTCACAGAGAGAACCTTGCAACTGTTTGTGAAGACAATTTTGGTATATTCTTCATTCTGTTTTATATATTCTTCATGAATATTTTGGTATCATTTTAAGGGTTTAGGAAGAGTATTATATTTTACTGCTACCATGTTTTTAGGATATTGTTGTATCAAGGATGTGGCTCATGATATATTTGAACCTATTGACCAGTACTGATATTTTATAATTTATAGTTTGATGACACATGTCAGTTATTAAAATTCTATTATGGGTCTATCTTCTTCCTTTTTTACTGCCTGTGATTTTTTAAATCTTTATCATCATATTGTATCTTCTACCTTCATATTTTCATATAGTCAATTGGAGAAGTTATTTAAAATATCCAGAAGAAGCTAAACTATCAGTAGAGACAAATGATCTTATTAGTAGACTTCTATGTAATGTTAAGTTTAGTAATACTTAACTAATCAAGCCAGTTAGGTATCCTTGATTTAAGTATGATTTTTGTTTATAAAGACTTGAGCATTTGCAATGGCAAGACTTCTTTAAAATCATTTAAATAGTGTCTTTTGGATGAGATTGTAAATGATGAATGAAATGAGGTGCTAAAATATATTGTCAAGATTTTTTGTATACAAGCAAATTTAGTTTTACGGGAACTGTTGAATTGAGTTTCTTCCCGTACTTTAGTTGAAATGGTTTCCCTACATACTCCCTTGAGGACAACCAACTATGGCCATGACATATGTTGTAGTTACTCTACCAGCTAGCAATTGAAGTTTATGTTATTTACTGATCATGGAACACTCATCCCCTTAAATATGTCAATGTTCCTATTATACATGCAGGAATGGTCAATTATGGGGAGAAGACTTGGTTGTTGCAGTCAAGAAGCAGTGATGGATTCAGAGAATCAATTCTCCCTCCTCCAGACCCAGGGCCAAACTATGCTAAATTCTTGGATGATTACATTGCTAAGTCATTGTTTCTGGTTTCCAAGTATGTGCTCATCTCATTTTATGCAATTTTGTACTTCATAAGTTTATTTAGTAAAATGTCGATAGTAATCAATCATGTCGTATATTTTGTTTGATATGCAGTTATCTGTTATGTACTCAAAAGCTTGATGAGATGGCTCTTAAGAAATCACGGCTATTAGTCCATATGATGTCGTATATGCCAAGATCCATGGTATTGATGTTTCTTTATTTATTTCGGCTTTTTTTAATGTTAAGTAGTCATGAAAGATATTCCTTTTTGATTAGTATTAACTTATTGTACTGCATCATGCACTGTCATTGCAAGTGTTGCAATTGTGGTTATTATGGTTGTTGGGGGCGTGAATATTGATTAGAAGATGCTTGAAATTCATAGTTTAGAGATGGTTAAATGAAGACTGAGATTTAGATCTGTGATATTTTAATTTTTGGTGAGATGAACCAAAGGAACCTGCCCAAACTTATTTGATGTGATTCTTGACGTGGTTGGTTGCACATCTGATTTTAAATGACACCACAATCGCAGCTATAACTTACTGCACACTACGGTAGAATGACTTTTCTTATATTAATCAAAAGGACCGTGCATAGTAATCAAAAGGACCGAATTATATTTTGAACATTTGGTTTTCTGTAAGTAAAGATCTCTCTCTATATATAGCCTTTGTCGATTCATGAGTGCGATTGATATTGAGGGTGCACCTCTTTCTTTATATTGCTTGATTGTATTCTTTTTGCTGAACTTAAGAGACAATATCAACTGGTTTATTCCTTCTGCAAAATAGAGGAGTGGTAAAATAAAGTTCCTCTCATTATCCGTCATTTCCTTACGATATGTGGAATTATAAATTTCTTTTTTATCGAATTATGATTTATGACACATATGGCATGTTGATTTTGTATATATGAACATAAAAAAGGTACAGCTAATGGCGTTGCAATGACTGCTATGTCAACATTCAAAATAATTGGCCCTGATGGAGGTGGCACATTGTGAGTTTCTCTATGACCAAGATCTTGGCTCGACGCATTTACATTCGCACCCACATTCATAACTAAATTACTTTACGCGTAGAGAATGATACTTTCTGACGATAAATGATATATTGAATGATACTTTCTTATTCTGGTTGTGGTCAATGCAAATTAGCATGGTCACAAAAGCGATTAAATGCTTCTTTTCTACCAGGTATGATGCTGGTACAATAATTAAATAATTTAGAGTGTTGCAATCCTAATAGGAACATGATTTGTGTTACTAGCTATATTACTGAAAATTCACTATTATACATTTAACTGTAGGCACCTATGTGGTCTTTCTTGTCCTTAATATTGTTGAAGGACTTGGAGTAATTTTGGTGTTCAAACCTTTCTTGGGTGAAAAGGAGGAAAAATCAATGGAACATTTACAATGAAATCAATAAAATTTGGGTAAGTTATAAAGCATTAGCATCATGTTCCGTGTTTATTAACAAATTTTATTTTTTATATTAAAGGATGCTATGCTACATGATAACATTTTATCTTTATGAATCTTATACTGTAGTGTGCAGTCAGTTGAAATTTTTAAGTATCTCTTTTATAAGAAAATTTGATTCACACCACAATTGCAGTTGTAATTGCATATGCGGACTGCAATTTAAAACACAGTCTTACCTTTCATTTGAGATTATATAATGATTTTGAGTGTCTTATAGTCTATATATTATTTTGTCATCGAAGTGGAGAAAAACTATGCATAATATAATACCTCTTTTCAAGGCTGATATTCCTGATACAATGTCTGTGTATTGTCATGTACTTTTCAATTTGATCTTTTCTTTGTACACATAGTTCTTGGCTTGACTTAATCCCGTTATATTTAGATTTTCTAATAAACTGCATCTTTGAAAGTGCTTTCTAAACATGCACTTATGTGTCCTGGTGCTATAAATAGTGGGTTGGGCTTGATTGGTACCAATGTCCAACTTGCTAATAAACCAGGCACTTTTGATGGCTATGCCTCAAGTTATGACCACAATCAGAAATCAGTAGTGCAGGATAATCTTTCTTACTTAGTTTAGTTGTATCACCTTTTTTAGTTAATATTAATATTATTTGTTGGTATGTCTATCTGGCTGGGTGTATGTGTATATTTTTTGGCCTTAGAAATTGATATCTGTCATAGTGGGTAACAATTTTATTATCAAGTGATGTATATGGACTGAATAATGTTGACCCTTTTGCTTCTGGGAACTTTTATGGATCTGTGGCATCTTCTAGGTTTATGATGAACACTTAGAACACAAATTCAGTAACATTGCCATCTATACCCAAGACTAACTCATTGATCAGCATTCACTCAAATTTTCATGGTGTACAGCAGGCTGCTCATATGAAATCTCAAGCAGTCAATAAATTGGAAAGCGGTGATAAGTTAGTAGAACTTTAGAAGTGTAACACAGTGATAAGTTACTACTTTTAGTGTGTTCACAGTGATAAGTAACACTGATAATTTGCTATCATAAATAGTAAAGTACAACTATGTATCAACCTGTAGGGAGAAATAATTTGCTATCATAAATAGTAATTTGCTATCATCTTCTTATCCCAAGATTATTCATCAACTTCGATTAACAATCAGTTTAACAAACTATGTATCAAACTGTAGGAAGAAATATTGTATCATTGTACAAACTTTCCTTAATGAACATAAATATTAAGTTTTTTTTCTGTAACATAAAATTGAACAAGAAATATAAGCAAAAATTGAACAAGAAACTTATAATGAACTTATCATTGTACACACTTTTTTCTGATGTGGTGTTGGAATGGTGAATAACTAAAAACTTATATAATCTTCCACCATTAACAATGTGTTTCCAATTGAACTTATTTATTATGAATCTTGAGCATATAGGCATGTTTTGAGAAAATACCATTTGGATTCAACCTTGAAGATTCACTAACAACAATATTTTATAATAGAAACGATATACATAGTATTAAAAATTTCTTTTCTTTTTTGTCTAAAATCCATTTTTAAATAATTAGTATTACTTGTCTATTCAATTTATAACATATTAAATATATAATCATTTAGTTTGCAAATAAAATATATCTTAGTTAAATATTTTAATTAAAAATGATATGTGTTTGCACTTTATACTCAAATGAAATAGTATAAATGGTATAAATAATATTTCTTTAATTAAAATTATTCCATTTTATTGTTTTATACTCATTGCACAAACTAACAATGCAAAGTAGAATTTTTACAAATTCAATTATTCTTTTATTTAAAATATTTTTTATTATAGATAATATTATAATATTTAATTATTTTTTCTTTTAAAATGAAATCTCCTAAACTCAATGAGAGTGTCAGACCGATACCCATGCGAACAAACGAGTATCATACTAGTTTGATTTAAAACTATAAAAAAATAATTAATTCGCACATTCCATTCACGCCTAATTTGAATACAAGTCATTTGGAAGTTAAAATTTCTCAAATTAAAATGTTTTAGTCTCTCTTTATTATGATTACCCGCGCGATCCGGATAAATTTTATTAATTTATTATCGATAATTATTAATTTAAATAAATAAATAATATATTTATATTGAAATTTTATATTGAATTTATTTTTTATATAAAAAATTAAGAATAATTTAATAGTTTTTTATTTACAATTATATATATATATATATATATATATATATATATATATATATATATATATATATATATATATATATATATATATATATATATATATATATATATATATATATATATATATATATATATATATATATATATATATATATATATATATATATATATATATATATATATATATATATATATATATATATATATATATATATATATATATATATATAACATTGTTTAACTAAGTTGTATGCATAATAAATCAAGATTTTGTCACCGTTGATATATTTAAAGTTCAAATGAAACTTCTATTTCCTAAGTTTTACAAATATTCAATTTTGACTCTCTAGTTTTTTGTATTGTCCTGCCAAATGTGAAATTTTGTTGCTAAGTTAAATTTCGATCGAATTTTAATAAAACAACATAACACGTGTGTAACGTGGTGGGAGAATTGACTTGGTTGTTTTGCGTTTGATCGCAAATGTTATAGATAGCAAGAGTCGCCATCGACTTTTCTTTTATCCAAAAGGAAAGCTTGAAAAGAACAAGAAAGACCTTTGAGATGTTTTCTTGAGTTCTGGGGGTAGATTATGAAAAGGAAAGGTATTATCACCCTTTTCATCCGTAGTTATCTACGGGCTCTTAGTTGCTTGCTAGATCACTTGTTTTTGTTTGAAAAAGTGCTTTGTGTGGTTTTTGAAAGTATTTTGAAAATGCGCCATCGTTTAGGTAAACTTTGCAATGATTCTCGTTTGTAAGAATGTATACAAAGTGTTGATCTTTTGCAAATGTTTCAAGCTTGAAAGATGTTTTGAAAGTGTTGGTGTTTGTTTTGACAATAACAAGGATGTTTTGGTTTAAAAATGAGCAAGCAACTAGGAATATTCTACCTACTCAAAAGTCTTTCTTGTTTATTTCCTCTTTCCTTTGACATTGTTATTTACCATGGATTGGTAAGTAACCCTATCTTTGGATGTAAAAGGGACGGGCAAGGGTCATCGTATAGTCATGAATAGCAATGTTGTAAGATATCTTAGCATTTTCCTTAAGGGACTAAGATCATTCGCAAGGCAACATTCGTAGCGTCATCGAGGGACTATGATCTTGTATTTTGTTTGTTTTTGCTAAGACGTCTTACATGCATATTATGACCATTTATTTCTTAAGGAAACAAGTGGAGTTAACCCTAGAGGTGCAAAGTATGCAAGTGTGTCTTTTTCATGCTTGACTTGTCTTGTATTAGAGTTTGCTATTTGTTGGTTTTAATATTTCCATACAAGCTCTAATTTACTAGCATTTATATAAAGCGGTAAATTGAGGAAAGTAAAAATACTAAACTATTACATCATTAGGGGAGGGGGTATACAAATTTACAAATGGGGATTTGCAAGAAAATTAAACCTAATTAACTATTACAACCATATTGAATAATATACAAGATTTGAATAAAAAATAAAAATGCAAGAATGTAAATGGAAAAAGAAATAATTTTTGTTTGAATTTTTATGAAAGGATTTTAACCTAAATCTAATTAAGAAAAATGATTAATGAAAATTAAATAAAATTAACTAGAACTAAATAAGAAAAGAAAATAACTAAAAAAGGATTTTTTTAGGGTTTTATTTATGAAAAAGTATTAAATTAATAAAAATAATATGAATATTAATTAATTAAAAGAAACCTAAGTTCTAAATTAATTTTAATTGCAAGAAAATAATATAATAGTTAAACCTAAACCTAAATATTAATTATTAAGAAAGAAATTAATTTATTAAGAAAATATTTTTTTTTCTTTTAGTTTTATAAAACAAATAAACTAAATAAGTGTAAAAATAATAAATAAAATATTTTTGGATTTTTGTTAATAACAATAAAAATAAAATTAATAATAATAATAATAATAATAATAATAATAAATAAAAAAAGAAATAAAATAAAAAAAGAAAAAGAAAATAATAATGAAAATTGGGCCAGGGGGTGCTGAAGTAAGGCAGAGAGTTAGAAGCCAGCAAAAAGAAACAAGGCCCAATGTGGAGGCCCGGGCGTGCTGTGTGACAAAAAAAGAGAGAGAAAATGTGAGAAATGAAAAAAGGTAGCGCGCTGGGTGTTAAACCCACGCCCTCTTGGTTATCAGCGCGCTGCCTTACCACTGGGGTGGCTATACATCTGCTTACTTATATCAAACCATAAACATATATTACAAATCAAGTCCATAGCCTGAACTTCATCTTCAACCTCACGCCCAGCCAGATAACTTGCAACTTGTTCATCTCTCAACAAAAATGGAAAGTACAAACATGAAAGTTGTGGCATTTCTTCCCACGAATCCAACCATATAAATAACTAAAGTTATGAATCTAAGATGAGTGAGAATTTTTCTAGCCCTAATTTAAAACCTAAAAATTTCAGAAACTTCAACTCCAAATTTCTCTAAGCTCAGGCCATATAAATGCAAACTAAGGATATGTACAACTTCATGGCAATGAGGTCTACATTTTATCTTTGAAAATGAAAGCTTAACAATGCCTATATTAATAGTTCAAAAGTAAAAAAACTCACCTTGCAAAAGGGTATCGTGTTTTGAGTTAGAGCAGCTTTCAATGAGTTCTAGTGATTGGGTTAGCTTCCTCAAATTCACAGGAAGCTAATGTGATGCTTGACTTGTGCTAAAAGTGGCTGAAGAGTTCTAGAGAAGTCAAGTTGCAGACCCATGTTTTTGAAAATGGAACTTGATGATGGAGGTGTTACAGTTAGGCAA